ACAAATTTTTGTATACTTATATAATGCCTTTCGTCCAAGGATTTCAAACATCGCTGCTATTTCTCCTATAATACACTAAGATCCTTGATCTGAGATATCCCATTTTGGTGCATTTGGAGCATCTTGGCTGAGAGGTGGGGGTTCCCCACCTTTGTCCCCCGCCATGGTGCTCCCTGTTTGTCACATTCTGGTCCAGGCCTGGTGCTGCAAGAAGAGGACACGGTCAGGAGACCTGCCACTGACCAGCCCAGTGACCTTCAAACAAGCCACTTAGCTACTCTGAGCCTCAGGTTGCTGTTCAGAACCCTGAAGACACCTCCCTAAATCACGCCTGAGCCCCCTCCCTCCTCAGCAGCCCAGCAATGCTGCAAGCACTGTGGACTGTGCGCCAAGGAGGCCAGCGGTGTCTGCAGGGCGGGCTCGGGTCAGACCGTCACTTTCTCCAGCACAGCCTGACGGACGGCCTGTCGGGCTGGGTGCGCACCTGGTGCCGGGTGCCCCGGTTCCGGGGAGAATCGGGGGTCCCGTGGGAGCAGATAAGCAGTCTGGGTAGAACGTGGCTCCGGCCCAGGAGCTGCGTGTTCTGGGGCTGTGGGCCCCGAAGGAGGCAGCGGGGGAGCCGGTCCCAACTGTCAGGACAGAACCCTCAGAAAACAGGCCCCCCCTTCTTTCTGTCCAGACAGCACCGTTCGGACATGTCACTGTTATTTTCAATGAAAGGAAGAGATATGCTTGGTTTCCTTGAGACAGTAAAAGGGCGTGAGCATGTTTTACGTATAAAGGCCAGCATTCTTTTGTGGTGGCCGCCTAGAAGTAGGCTTCTGCGGTCAGGCCAGTTGTTTTAGAACGGGCTCTGGAGGTTTGGCAAGTAGACAGAACACGAAAATGAAGACCCGGGTCCAGAGAAAGTGCACCCGAGGATGGGAGGGAGACCCTGCCCGTGCACGTGACAATTTCTCGGGGGTCCTCCAAGACCAAACCTTCAGAGCCTGAGTCCCTGGGGGAATGGGCATCTCGGCTGTTTTGAGCCTGTTAAGCACTAGGACCCTCTTTTTTTGCAAAGGCACCTGAATCGGGCCAGTTGCCACCACAGCTGTCTAGGGAACCACACAGGGTGCAGAGCTGATGAACCAAATGGTCAAGAGTGTGGGTGCCGAGGCCAGACCACCAGCATGGCCTCTTCCTGTAGGTGAACCTCTCCAGGGTGTTGTGACGCCTGAATGAGCTGACAGAGCCAGAGAGCCTGGCGCATGGCGGATGCTGTACTGGCGACAGTGGCAATGGTCACTGGGTACAGCCACTGTCGCCACTGCCACAGCATCTCACCCCTGACCATGCGGCCTGGTTCCTCCAGAAAGCTTCCGAAGCCCCACCCCCTTTGAGGGGCCTTCCCAAGCGTAGGCCAGGCAGAGGGTGGAAGGGTGGGTGGCCTTAGGGAGACGTTCTTCCAGCCGCTGTGGGCCTCTGGCCTGGTCAGAGATGAGAGGCTGCCCCCGGCCCCCTGTTCCTGGTTCTGTGCCCAGGCTGGAAGAACGCTCATTCACAGCTGACTTTTATAAGACAGGCAGCCATTTACAACATCCTGACACCCGCCCCCCCAAGCAGTGGGCCCGTATAATAATCATGATCATGATGACAAACAGCAATAAAACTGAATGGCAGTGGCCCGGCTGGGGGTCTGTCTTTGAAGCTGAAGTTCAGCCTCCCATGTGCTACCGGAGGTCTGCCAACTCGCGCCCCTCTTGCCAAGTCCGCCTCTCCCTTTGTGAGTCCTCTGCTGTGAGAAACCACCACAGCCCCTCGCCTGGGGTTTTGGGATGTCAGACAGTGCCCCCACCCCGCCCCCGGGCTTGGCCGTGAGCCTCCATTGGCCCACAGGTGCCAGAGGCACCTGCTCCAATGGGGGCAGATGCAAGCGAGCCTCCCCACCCAGGCCGTGGCCTCTGGGCCCAGTCCTCAGCGGGGGGCTGGCTCCCTAGGCCATCTGGAGCCGGGGAGACGGTCCAGTCCAGCACATCCAACAGAAATACAAGCCAACTACACTTAGCAGCCACATGTTAAAAAGTTAAAAGAGAAATAAAGGAAATGAATTTGGATGTATTTTAGCCCAAGATATCCAGATGAAAGCTTATTAACGAGGTGTTCCACGTTTTCCAGTCTCTGCACCTTCGGGGTCTGCAGTGCGCACACCCAGCGCACATGAGGTGCTCAGCACTTGGTAGCCGTGCATGGTCCACACAAGGCGCAGTGGACAGTGCGCCCAGCTTCCTGAACCTCGTGCATCTGTGTCCGCCAAAGGGGGCTCGCCAACACTGTTTCCCTTTTGCAGTGAGAGTTTGGGTAATGAGAGGGATGTATGAATAGCAGCTGGTCATTGAGGGGGAAGCATGCTTTGTTCTAAAAGTGAATTTGCATTGGTAAGTTGCCTCCCGGATTTGTGACAGACCTTTGGGCCATCCTGTGTTCTCTAGTGCACGAGCCGTGGTGACAGCAGTGGGCTTCTCTTTTGAGGGGGAGTGGAAAATGCTTCTGTGAAATCCTGAGTCCCGTCCTATTGTTACCAGGCATCGCAGTGATCTGTGACTTTGTGTCCTCCGCCCAGCGGCTGAGCTGGTGGGCTCTGGGGACTGACCAATGCTGTCACCAAGAATGAGCCGCCGTTGGCACAAGGCCTTCTGCTCTGGGAGGCCGTGGGGGAAGGAGGGGGCCTTAGCAACAGGAGTCATGGAGTTCAGTGCTGTGGGAATTGAAAATGAAGAGCAAGTTGGACCAAAGTTGATCAAGTCAAGAAAGGAAAGGAAAACGTCATCCTCGCTATTAGGATTTGTGAATCATTTTGACCCTTGACTCCTAAGCTCTCCAACCCCGGGCAGCCCTTCCCCCCACCCACGTGGAGGGATCTTGTTGGTACGGCTGTGCGGGTATTTGCAGAATCCTGGAGATGAAATAAAGTGAGCCCCCCCCACCCCCGTTCCTCAGCATCATAATTCACACAGCAACATGGCACCTCAGCTGTGCTTGTGTGAAAAACCAGCTTTACTGAAACACTGGTTGTTGAAAACAGATCACAGGGAAGCTTTTAAAATAGTTGCAAGAACAAATTTTATTCGCATGCTTTTGAAATATAGTTGCTAAACTGAAATGATGCCTTCGATTTATTTTAATCCTCAGAGCCCTTTGATTATCATTTTATTAATCCCATAGGAGTGATTACATGTATTTGAAAGCCGTAAATTGTATTTTTAAAACAAATACATCAATATTCAGAGCACCACCTGTGAACAGATGGGCTTTCAAGCAGGTGTCCCAAACTTCTTGCACCTTGGTTTTCTCGCCTGTAAAATGGGAACCATGGCAATTTCTGCCTCATCGGAGAGCACACAGTGTGGAGGGCATCGGACAGACGGTCGGTCAGTGCTTGGTGGGTGTACTCGTGTCCTCCCAAGGGCAATCTTTGTGGTTCTGCGGCTTGGCCATGACAGGCTTTGATCCAGTGATTTTCTGTCTGGGAGCTCGAGTCATTAGGTAATAGATTAGAGACTCATTTTGGCAGGTTTTTTGGGTGCTTTGTGTTTGTATGTGTGTTTTCCAAGTTTCCAAAAAAGAACAAATGTAATTTAAAAAACAAATGAAGGCCTCCTTTTTGTGTATCATTTTCTTGTCACAGAAATGAGCCACAGAGCCACAGAATGCAAATCTGTACCCCCTTGTTGTCGCCCACACCTAAGTGAGCCTGGAACCTGCCCCTCTCGTCCCACAGCCGGAGGCCCTGGTGGCTCATTAAAGGAACAGAGATGGGCAGGCTGGCAGGAAGTTTGTTTAGGTCCCAGGACATTTGATTAGACCTACTGGGCCAATAAAAAAGAATACCGCACCTCATTTCCAAGTCAAATTCGCATGCAAAGCGGCAGAGCGGTCACACTGAGTCCCTGTTAGTCTGTCTGCGCATTGAATCCTGGGTGTGATCCAGGCACCTGGGAATTGTGTGCGTTAGGTGCACGGCAGTGAAGCCAGTGTTTTAATAAGCCGGCGGCACTGAGAAAGTTGAGCCAGCATCGCTCTTCCTCCAGGGGAGGTTGTGGGGTTACTATAGGACTTCTGGGGGCCACAAAGGCGGGGGGGGGGGGGGAGCTGGGGGGAAGGGAAGGTCCCTGGTGGCCCATCCCCCAGCCTCAGCGGCTGCTTGCATTTTCATCTGTCCTTCCCCCCACCTATTTTACTGACGTATTTAAAACAAATCTAAGATTTTGTTTTACCCATAAATACTTCACTCCTCACACATTTCACTCAAAAATGCACTCATCTCAGACCGAAAAGGGCACTCTGTAGTCATGATACTGTTTATCCTGCCTAACACTTCCTATCACCTGATATCAAGAGCATATTTAATTTTCCCAGTTTCTTGTTTACAGTTGGTTAGTTAGAATCAAGATCAGACGATCCCAAGTATTACATTTGATTATTATTCTTTGTCTCTCTGAAAGCATTTTGAAACCTCAGTCATTCAGCAGATCCTGTACCTCTGTGTGCAAACCAGAAAACTAGAGTTTTCATTAGTCACTCCTCCTCCTGCCCCGTGTTATTGGTATCACAGTCCTCATCATCTTCGTCACTTTTAGAGAAATTCTGTCATGTGGTTTTATTTTCTTATTTATCAGACCCTAGCTTTGAATCTGCTGTTTCCAAAAATTAAATCCACCTCAGTGTCCAGATATTTTTCTCCGAGGAGGATCATCAAATCTACTTTCAAACAGCTCTGTGGCATCTCAGTGGGGGTGGGTAGAAGGCAAGTTCCAGACAGATTTTGAGCAGTGAATTGGGAACCAGTGGTTCTCAAGGTGCCTGATTTGAGGGGTGCTCTGCCCTGGGTGTAGAAATCAAAGACACCGTCACCCCTCACTACACAAACTGTGCAAATGCCCACAGGTGTGACTGACACCTGCTCTAACACAGGCCTTTCGATTTGCCACTGACTGTCATCGGTGTTCGTTTTCCCACAGATCATTGCCTACCAGCCGTATGGGAAGTCTGTGGACTGGTGGGCCTATGGCGTCCTGCTGTATGAAATGCTGGCCGGGCAGGTAACGTCTCACCGTGTTCTCGTGGGGCTGGGCCGCCTCCCTGGGCCCAGGCGGAGGGTGGAGACGCTCCCATGAGAGGGGGTTCTGTTCATAGGGACAGAAGTCAGCTTCCATCTCGGAAGCCTGCACTGACAGGTGCATCCCGGAGCACAGACAGTGCTCAGCTCCCACATTATACACAAGAGCCCCCTGCACGTCGATGGCGACCGGGGCCTCTGTCGTCCGCAGCGTCTCAGACCTGGGCTCAGGTCCCCTGTGAGCGCGTCTGCAGGACCAGGACCCCCGGTGCCGCCCGTGTGTGCACGCCACTGTCGAAGATGCGCTCCGGTAGCTTCTCCCACTCCCTCCTATCTCGCCACCGGTAGTTCATCTAACTTGTGTAGAAGTCCAGTGAGGCTGAGTTTCCAGCTAAGGACAGGCACGTTTGGTTTCCTCTCGGCAATGTGACCTATCAGATGACCAAGCGCGTCACGGGCCAACACGGCGCTGGCTGAGGTACTGGCCTCACATCTGTGTTGGAGTAAAGTCACGCCAGCTGTTGTAACAAGCCACCTCAGAATCTCAGTGGGCTAACACACAACACACGTGTATTTCACATGCTCGGTGCGGACCTAGGTGGGGGTGGGGGACACGGATCCCACAGTCATTCGAGGACCCAGGCTCCTGCCATCCATTGACTCCACCTTCTAGAGCCTCGGATTCCCCCACTGACTCCTCATTACTCAGCCGGCCGATGAGGAGAGAGCAGGGGGACAGCTGCACCTGCACCCTCAGGCCCAGGCCTGGAGGTGGCACGCGGCACCCCTGCCTGCCCCTCACTGGCCCCATGGCCCCACGGCCTCACAGAGAGGCACCTGTGAGCTCGGCAGGGGGAAGCGGGTTTGTTGAGCATCTACCTGATCTCTGCCATTGCACCTCAAAATGATTCTGTTGGGGCTGCTTTTATAGTTGCCAGCACCACCCCCCATAGCTAAGAGCTTGAGTAAGGAGAATAGAAAGAAATGCTTGTGTTCAGTAGCATAGCTACCCCCCCCCAAAAAAAAATCTTTAAATCTTTGTTTCTGAAAAGAAGTTACCCTTTCTGACAACTTACATCCATTGACTCATTCATTTATTCATTCAACACACATTTACAATGGTAATAGCCATGAACAAAGATCTGTACCTTCACCAAGCTGACAGTCTAAAGAAAGTCAGTAAGCAAGGGAAATAAGGGAAATGTGCAACAGTTGAAAAGCTAAGAAGAAAAGTAACAAATAAGGAGAAGAAGGCAGAGTGTTGGAGAAGGGTGGAAATTTTCGCTAGGAAGGCCAAGGAGGGTCTTGTGTACAAATCAAAACGGAAAGGAAATGAGGGAATGTCCGTGTGCAAATCTGGGGGGAAAGCAGGTGCAAAGGCCCTGGGGTGGGATAAGCTGCCATGTTTAAGCAACAGAAGAGAAGTCGCCAGTGTGGTTGGAGCAGAGCAGAGAGGCCTGCGAGGGAGCAGGTGGCTGGAGTAGGAGGAGGAGGCCCCGGGTCAGAGACGAAGGGGGTGCACCAGGTCACGTGTGCGTGGGGGTCATCGCAAGGCCATTGGCCTTCCCGCCGGGTGGGAGGCCTTGATGCTCTGTCTGTTTCATCGAATCTTACATGTTTCAGATACTAAAGTCATCTTTTAGACGTTAAAAGATACACAGTACTAGCCTACATTTGGTCATTATTTCTCAGTGATGCTAAGATGGGATTTATATTTCAAAAAGTGGTTTGTGTATTATTTAGGTTTTCGTTCCTAGTACAATGTTTATTTTAGGCCAAATGCCTCCATTTGTAGACACAGAAAAGCAGGTTATACAGAACAGCTGTCAGAGAGACAACAGCTGGCAAAACACAAGTCGCCTGCTCCCTCAGATAATCTCCCCTCTTTAGAACTTTGGCACTAGAATCGGACTAAGTTGTCGGCCCCCTGGGAGCCGTGCTGTTCCTGAAAGCACAGGAAGCTGAGTCCCCTCCTCAGTCCCACTTGCGTGTCCTGACTCTTGAGTCCAGAAAACAAACCCTGCTTTCACGAAGAGAGGCACATTTGCATATGCCAATAAACAAAACGGGTTGGGTGGAAATAGGATCTGTTTCCAAGGGCACTTTACAAGAGATGAAATGAGCTGTCTCTTTATTGGCCAGCAGGAGACTAGAATTTTGGGACCCAGGCCTGCAGCGAAGTCCCCTCCGCACCATCTTTCTCCTTCTCCGAACCTCCTGGGTCTGTGCCCTGCCAGGGAGAGCTCGGGCAATGCTGCCCCCCTTCAGGGAGGTCCCCTTCTGGATGCATTTCGAAGTCCTGCCTCATTTGCAGACAGGTTCTTCCTCACGCCCCCAAAGAGAGCCCAGGGCCCTCCCCCACCCAGTGGTCCCACAGACATTCTGGCACATTTTCATTATTTTTTATCCTGTTCCTCTGCGTCAGTGAGCCTGCCTTATATGATTTCTGAAAGGGTTCATCATGTCTGTGGAAACAGGGAGACTCTAACTGTGGCACCTTAAAGTTGGCCCACGTTCGGGCGCACTGGCAGACACCGCCACTCTTCCTCAAAGTGCCCCCTGTGCCGCCACAACACGGCGCCTCCATTTCAGACCCCCTTCCTCGCCTTCCTCACCTTCCTCTCCAACCTGATGCAAATTTCAGCATATTCCTGGGCTGCGACTCAGCCCAAAAAGGACAGTAAAGGCACCACATGAATTGTCCACACAGCCCCCGCCCCCCCGCCCCGAAGCTGCAGTAGCCTCGGAGACCCAGCGGAGGGAATAGACACTGTTATCGAGAAGTAAAACTAATTAGAAAGTTGCTGGTGGGGTTGTACTCGAAACGTGTCCTCTTTAATCAAGAGCTGAAGATGAGCCGAAAAAGTTTATTGCCATTTTCTTCTTATTTGCTTTATTTATTGTGAGCAGCCAGCAGGAGCAGTGAAGTATAAACAGCCCGAGGCCGTCTTCAGTTCTCAGACAGCTTGACAAATGCGAAGACTTCAGGGCACAAGTCATGTTTGCCCAGCTCTCTAACAGGCTACCACTGCCCACAGCTTTCCTGGGTATTCATCATAACGGGGCCAGCCCTCTCCTCTCCCGTCCCTTTCTGCCAGGGTTGTTAATGCTTTGTGCTTATTCCCGGTGAATCAGTAATGGGCACTTCATCCCAGAACATCAGCCTGAATGTCCTCGAGTTCTCTCCCCGACCCCTGACCCCCGCCCCCGGTCATCAGTGACCTGCAAGTGAACATGGCGGGCCCAGTGGCCACCGACTAGTGAGCGACCTTGGGATCATTTTGGAATGACCTTGGAAAGGTCCTTCATCCTTCATTTGCCTGTTTAAAATTCACAAATTACACATTGTCAAGGAGGGCAGCCCCAAGCCAAGGCTTGAGCTAGGCTTGAAACACTGAGTCCAGATTTGTAGAAATTAAAAAATAGTAATCCTGGGGATTGGGGGGAAGAGGGGAGAGAAGCCATCCAAGATGGTCGTGCCCTAGGTACCTCGGCAGCACGTGGCCCCCTGGGGTCCCCGGGCGCTGTAGCTGGCATGTCTGGGAAGGAAAATGAATGTGATTGTAACTCCTGAGCACGGACCTGCCGTCGACACCCAGGCCTGAGAGCAAGCGATGACCTGTAAGAACTTTCCAGGGGCGACCAGGAGACACTGAGGGAGAAGCCAGAAAAATGTTCACGTCCTTCGGCTGCTCCATCCCACACCTGGGAAATCATTCCAGGAAGTAATTCAGAGAAGAAACAAATGGCACACAGAGACATTTTTAGGAGCATTTGCTAGTGCTGGAAGCAATTACAAGTGCGCCTTGGACAAATGAGTCAGCCTAGGATGCGCCCCCAGCGGCACTAATCTGACTGGGAACACTGGTAGCTGCGGAGAAAATGTGTTTGCAGCAGCGAGTGAAAAGCAGACCACGCCAAATTACGTTTCGCCGCTCAGAAGTGGTATGAAAAGTCACAGGGTCCACAGGAGGATAAGAGCCATGTTCGCGCTGGGGTAAGAGGGATGCGGATGCTGCTTTCATGGACTTCCCCTCCCCGAGGGAATCCATCGTTTCAGTTTAACACAGGGTTCCGGGGAGCTTTTCCAAATGTGACGGTCACTACTACTGTTCCCCAGGCATTCGGGGTCTTCCTTCCTTGTGGCACACGGGGGGACTGGGTGGGACGCGGGACTAGTTCTGACCAGTGAGGCCTGGCTGGATGTGCTCCCAGCTGGAGTATCACCGCAGAGCCCCTGTTCCAGCTCCGCCACAGCAAGACGGGGATGGCGCTGCTCCCCCGGCGTGGGCTCCTGGGCGACCCACGGTGTGGCTCTGCCGACCCGCAGTGAACGCGTGGCCTGAGCAGGAGATAGGTAGTCCACGTTTGGGCTGGGGAATCACGTCAGGCCTCTGGTCTAGAGGTAGTCACACTCTTCACAGTGACATGAAACATCCCAGGCCACGGTACCTGCCCGCCCCCTTTATTTTCAGAGCTCACCACTACCCATTGTACAGGAGGTGAATCTGGCTTTTTTAAGTTTACCAGAACAGTCTCACCCGAGCAGTCGAGTCCTCCTCTCGTGCTGGGTGCACGGCAGCCCAGCACCTCCCCCTCCGACAGCTGCAGCACCAGGGTCACGGGCACTGTCTGACCCCCCCAGACATGCGTGGGAAGTGGCATCTCCCAGACTGCCCGCGAGTCCCAGCTTCGAAGTCAGGGTGCCTGGGCTTGCTTCCCGGCTCCTGGACACCCCAGTTCTGTAGCCCTGGCCAGAGCACTTACTGGAACCTCAGTGACCTCCGCTGTGCAATGGAATTAATAGCACCTATGTCTTGTGGCTTCTGTTATAGCCTAGGAACCTTACTGCAGCAGGTGAGCCCACGGGGCCTCTGCAGACCCCCCACCCCGCGCCGTAACAATCAGCTTGAGTTAGCTGTCTCTGCTGCAGGGCTTCTCGGGGCCTTTAGAATGTATCCATACGAATCTCCGGAGAGGGATGTAGGTGCAAACTCTGACCCGGAAATGCCCTGCAGGATCAATATCCTGAGGAACGCTCTCTGGGCATGTCAGGGGCCACCTGTCCTGCCCTGGGTGGGGGTACAGCTGTTACTATGTGGTCAAAAAATCTTCCTTTGCCCTGCAGTGGGCCTGGCCCAGCTGTATCTGTTTCAGGAACCAGCTCACATGGGGAAGCTCCCCGAGCAAAGCTGGTTTCCAGGCCCGGAGACCAGGAGGCAGGAGTCAGAGCCAGAGCCACACCCAGACGCCCCCGACAGCTCCCGTCTTTCACATCACGGGAAAAAAGGGCTCTGGCCGCACTGACCTCGCGGTCTTCCAGTGAGGAGGGCCCTCTCGCTGCCTCGCTTGAGGAGGATTCCTGGGAAGTGTTCACTTGAGTTTCTTTGGAGAAAGCTTCTCTTAGGCCTGTGGTTTGGATCACCTGTCACCCGGCCCCTGTGGCATTCCTGCCACTGGTTCTGAGCATCACCAGGGAGGCGGGGTGAATCCCCCTGGTGTCTTTGTCACTGTCAGCAAAGCACACCAGCCACCCACCTTCAGCCAATTTCATGGGCATGTGACCTATGTGGTCACACAGGGCCCAAACTCAGAAGACACCAGCACTTCAGGTTTAGTGCTCTGCCGTCTAGTAAGGGACCCCCCATTTTCATTTTGCTCTGAGACCCACAAATTATGTAGCTCGTCCTGACCAGTGACCCTGAGGGGCCACATTGGAGCACCGATTGGTTATCCAGAAGCAGGGCCTGCTCACCTCTAGGGCACTGTGACCTTGCAGAGTACAAACACAGCAAATTCAGAGCAAGTGAGGCCCCTAGAAGTATGTAGTTCGCAGTCCTGAACAGAAACCACACCATGTTTGTTTTAGTTACGAAAATCTCATTGGCCAAAACGCGGCCACATACATGGGTCGCTCTTCAGGGAAAACGAGGTGTCTCGTGGTTGGCATGCAGCGGGTGGTCAGAGGAAGGAGGCTGCAGGACATCAGGGGAGAAGGTTCTGTGGGGTGGACCGTAGGGCTGGCCTCTGCTGGAGCCCTTGCTGGCTGTAGCCACACCTGTTCCCCCCCTGCCCTGCCCTGCCCTGCAGGCAGAAGCTGCACAGCCCCTGCCATCGCAGGAGACCATCCACAGCCTGCACTCCCCGCTGGGGTGTCTGCCCCCAACTGACTTGCCTGGAGGGCGCCCCAGGTGCTGTGGCACTTCTTCCCGTGCGGCTCTGTTCCTGCTCTGCTCTGCGTCCCTCCCGGGCAGGCTAATTTTCATTCTCTCGCCCTCCTGCATGCTCCCACCGAATTAGACGTTCTCAATGCTAGGCACTCGCAGCTGGAAAACAGGCCTATTTATATTTTTAGAACAAAGGAAAAAGACATACGTGGCATCAGTCACCCCACACCTGGCCCCAAGGCAGGGTTCTTTATGGACTCGGCATCTTTCCCATCAGTGGGTGTGGCTCCCGTGTGCTGACCCCACTCCCCACGCCTGTTCAGGGCTGTGGCTGGGGCGGAGGAGGAAGGTTGGGGGCCAGAACAGGTCGGGGTGGTTGTGAGTGGTGGGTAGGGGAGCGCTCTGCTTACTTTAGTTGGCTTCTCCCACTCAGGGGGGCTGTTTGACAAGAAGGGACAGCCGTTCCACTGACGATTGCACAGTTGTCTTTGGTCACAAGGTAGCTCAACCCGAAGCCCGGCTCGGCTGTGTGAGCCCTGACCTCATCAGCCACGGTGACCATGAGCCCTCCTCACAATGAGAAGGAAAATGCAAGGTGAAATAGGACTCTCTCAACACGGGCTGACTCTGGTCTGCCTTTTGCATTCTAAGGTCAAGGTTAGCTAAGTTAAAGGAGAACATTAAGCCATTTTTCCTAAGCCCATTGATGCTGTGGGTTGTCCAGAGTGACAGGTGATTTGCCGTTCTCAGGACTGAGGGCATGTTGAGCGCACCTGTTCCTCCTGAGGTTCCCAGCAGCCCCCACAAAGACAATCCATCCACCTCAATAACAATACTAGTACCACTAAGCACCCTTCATTGGTCCCTTACTGGGTACAAGACAAATATCAGGCGCTTTGCAGACTCACCGGGGAACCCCACTGTACAGACGGGAACACTGTGTCTTACAAAGAGGTGAGCCGCTTGCCTCTGGACAACCAGCAGGGGGCGGTGGGGCTGCAGTTCCGGTTTAGACCGGCCTGACTTCAAAGCCCGGACCTCCTGCAGTGCCTCTGTGCCCCCCACTCCCCACTCGGGGAGGCAGACCTGGCCGAAAAGGACAGGGCGGTGTCCAGGGCGGCTCTGTGTTGGGTCCGAGGGGCCCTGAGGAAGTCCTGTTCGCCCACGTGCTGGTGTCCACTTAACCCCGTGTTCAGGATCCAAAAACATCGGCGTTTGCCAAGCTCCCACCTTCCGAACAGTCACCTGTAAGCTGGCTTGATGGTAATTAGATTTTTAACACATAATTACAAGACGAATGGATGAATTACAATTCATTTGCAAAACATTCAAAGCATTACCCAAAAAACATTTTTCTTAAAGATCGTTTCGAGTTGCCCAGGGTAAGATAATTAAAGGCACAGGAAAAACAGACACACACACACAGCAGCCTAATTACAGATCATCGAATAAACCCACCGGCCGACCGCGCTGCGCCTGCAGCCCGTGGGGCTTCTCGGGGTTGACTCGGAGCTTCAGGCGCCGTGTTAATAAGTGGCCCTGCCCCAATGTTTTGCCGTCCTTTTCTTTTCCGGAACAGCCTCCGTTTGATGGTGAAGATGAAGACGAGCTCTTCCAGTCCATCATGGAGCACAACGTCTCGTACCCAAAATCCCTGTCCAAGGAGGCTGTTTCCATCTGCAAAGGAGTAAGTGGGTTTGGGTTCCCGTCGCGATCACAGACCGGAGGGGCGCACGGCACCGGTTCCCCATGCTTCTCTGCAGGAGGGCGGGGAGACCACGAACCCGCGCCACTGCCTTTGGCCGTTAACAGCTAGAGCCGGGTGACGTGCAGGGGCTGGTGGGGAAAGGAAGGCCTGGAAAGTAGGTTGACACCCCAAAACCTCTGGAGACCCTGGCCCGGTCAGCGTCAGTTCCCCGTCCACCCCACAGATTGTGGTGCAGGTTACTGGAAATGACCTTGATGGTTAGAGAATGTTCGCGCTCTTCGTGGCCTCACTTGGCAAGGCCTTGGTTAGTCCCGTGTTCGCCTCTCTGTTTTTGAGATGTGCCGGTCGGCAACACACGTGTAGAAAAGGGCACGAGTCATCAGTGTGCAGATCGGCGAACTGTCCCAAAGGAACACACATAACTGCTCGTCCCCAGCACCCCTGGAGCCCCCTCCTCTCCCGCCTTGTCGTCCCTCCCGGCCTGTCCCTGCAGGGGTTGGCTGTGCCTGTTTGAACTTGGCACATGTGGGGTCTTGCTCCCTGGGCCTGGCTTAGCCCCTCGGGTGGTACTGGTGAGCCATCCCCGCGTCCTGCACGTGGCTGTGGCCTGCCTTCCGAACCCTGGGCACACTCCCTCGTGTGAACGCAGCCCCGCCTGTGCTCCGTTCTGCCACTGCTGGGCACCTGGGTCGTCTCCTTTTGACTCGGGCTGTTCCGAGTACACTGCCCTGACGCTCGTGGGTTATGTGTTTGAGGAACACGTGAACAAATTTTCAGCTTATTTTTTTCTGCTTTATTAAGGTATCATTAACCAAACTGTAGTATATTTAAAGTATACAGCGTGATAACCTGATACGCGTGTACAGTTGGCCCTTTGTAGCCACGTGTTCCTGCTGTGCAGGTTAAACCAGCCACAGATCAAGAAGATTCCAAAAGAAAAGTGACATGGTTGCTGGCTGACATGCATTAGGGAGTTAGGCCCACGGTGGCTGTGTCTGCACTGAACATGAGCAGACGTTTTTCTCATCCCTGCTTCCTAAACAGCACAGTGTAACAGTTCACAACAGTTCACATCGTGTTAGGAATCATAAGTAACCTAGAGGTGATTTAAAGCATCCGGGAGGATATGCAGGTGATGTGCAGACACTGTGCCTTACACACATAAGGGACTTGAGCGATGGGATTTCAGGGCCCACGGGGGAGTCCTGGAACCAGTCCCTTCCTAATACTGAGGGACAAGTCCCACAGTCAGGCTGACTCATTCATCACCTGGCATAGTTACTTTTTTCCCTGAAGTTCTACCCTCTTGGCAGATTTCAGTCATACAATACATTATCATCAGCTGTGGGCACCCTGATATACATTAGCTCCTTCCTCTTTCTCCTGCCTTAGCTGATGACCAAACATCCAGGCAAGCGGCTGGGCTGCGGGCCCGAGGGACAGCGGGACGTGCGTGAACACGCCTTCTTCCGGAGGATCGACTGGGAGAAACTGGAGAACAGGGAGATCCAGCCGCCCTTCAAGCCCAAAGTGGTGAGTCAGGGGCAAGCCTGTTTCCCAGCTGTGCTTCCCCAAATCCTGAAGGTGTCCCACCCACCGTTTTTCCAGAGGGATGCAGCCAATGACCCCCAGCCTCTGCAAGGGGAAAAAATGGCCATGTATCTGCCTTGCCCTCGTTCTGAGATCTGAGAAACCAGGATCCCTGCTGACTCTGAGCATAAGGACAGACCAGGCAGCGGGAGGTGGGGGGGCTGTGCTCACCATGCCCTGCAGCAGGACAGCTGCCGAACGCCCACCAAAACTCTTAGCCAGGGCAGGTCTGCTGTGGGTTGGGATCTCATGGACTTGAATTCCTTGCTCCGAATCTCCAACCATCCTGGATTCCCCTCGCACCTTTGCCCCCCACCCCACCCCCGGTGATTGCCACAACACCAGACCCCAGTTGCTAGCTGCAGCCTGTTGCCTTTCTGAATGCTTCTATCTCTGGCGAGAAACTGGGAGTCTTAAGACATCAGCCTCTTCACTCATGCCACCTGCCACTTTGCAGTGTCTCCAGGGCGGCTGCTTTGCCCTGCATCCCACATCTGGGAGGCAGAGGGGTCTGGGCCCTGCAGCTCGGCCACCAGCTCGGCCACCAGCTCAGCCAGCGTTGGGTCATCACCCTGTGGCCTCTGCTCCTGAGACTGCAAACAGGGCGCCGTTATTGCGCAGTTTCAGAAGCACTTGCTGTGTTGGTTCAGCCCAAATCTCTCCTCACGTGGCCCTGTGAGCAGTCAAAGCGACCTCCCGGGGGGCTGAGTTACTGACTGGGCAGAAGGGGGTGGTTGTGGAGGGGGGCAGGGTGGTGCAGTACAGCTTTATTCTTAGAGCAGCTACTTCCTCATCAAATATGCTTACGTGTCCTCTACTCCAAGAATAAAACCACGAGTGGTCAGTCCATTGATTTTATTTTTCCAAGGCATTTTTAGCACAAACTGAAGAAAAACTAAAATTAATCAGGTCGGCTGACCTTCTCCTGAGTCATCATTTCAAGTAGAGACGTTATGTCTCTGACACCCCACCTTCGTTTTAGCCAGTCCTGGGCCCTGAGTTCAAGGGCTCTCATAAGGACCCTTCCCTCCAGTTTACAAAGCCTGGTTTTAAGGCCAGGGAGGGGCGTGGGGCTGAAGACAGAGATAAATGCTCCTGCAGCCCATTTGCGCAGAACAGTCTTTTCGGGATTTTCCTTTCCCTTGCACGGCTAGCCAGCCTTCTGGAACTATGACAGGCGCGCCATGGCCAGGGCTTACTCACAGCTTGGTTCTTCATGGGGACAGTAGAGACCCATGCAGACCCTGCTCCAAGTACTCAACATCCCCTTTCCAGAAAGACAAGGTGCGGCCAAGTCGCCCTCAGATACACCTTCCTCTGTGTATCCGCCTGGCCTTCAGCAGGACACTGTCCATCTGCATAGTCGCCTACTTTCTGTGGACACTGCAGCCCTAAATTCACATGCAGGGAAGCCAGAGCATGGCTTGGCTCGGGCGGCCCAAATATACGTGGTTTCCCGTGGGCCGTGGGAATCGCTGGAAGGGCCGTTTTGTGTGGAAGGCCTGTGCGGCGAGAGCTCTGGTTGGAGGGAGAGACCTCACCCGCCCACTGAGAGGTTTCCCAGGCAGAAGCCGGGGAATCTGGGTACAGAGAAGGAAGAAGCAGCTAGGAGAGTGCAGAGGGCAGGAGGTGGTTCTGCAAGGGAGATGCAAACAAGAGTGGCGGTGGAAGCCCGTGGCTGCAGGACTGAGCAGCAAACGTGTTTTCCCAGCGCAGAAGAAGGCTGAGGGCAGAGAGATTGTGAGGGCAGCCCGGGGCCCGGGAGGGCTCAGTGTCCCCCACCCTGTGCCAGGCTACTCGCGAGGCAGCAGAGCTGGCTGTGAACCTCAGGTGAAGGGAGCACTTAGGCAGCTTCCAGGACATCACTCTGACCTCACGATGCCCGCCCGGAGCAGAAGGACCACACGTAAGCAGCAAAAGAAAGCCATCGCTCCGTGAAGTCCACATGTCCAGGAGGCGGCAGCACCCACTGGATCAGCGCTGCAGCCGAGGGGAGCAGAAAGTGATTCCACGGTGTTGTCATTAAGTCAAAAGAGTTTATGGATAAAGTACAAAGCTGAGTCTTCTCTGACCGGCGGCTTTGTTATTTCAAAGATGCAGCAGCACCAGCAGAGCTGTTGCTGCCAGATTCTGCCGAACGTGTGCAGCGACCCATTTCGGAGAGCATCTCTCCTCTGAGCGGGGCCGACGGCCCTGGCGGGCAGAGCTCGTCTGTCTTGGAGCGTGCTCAGTGCTTTTCCAGCAAGTGCCAGTGAAGCACTTCCCCTGAAATGCGGAGCCTTTGGTTATTTGTGATGCCAGCAGGAGGACTCGGTGGAGTACCCAGTTATCTGCAGGGGCTTCCGGAGGCCCATTTTGTGTGTATGAGCTCAGAAGTCTCGTTTCATTGGTTTTTTAGCATTTTGGTGTTTTATTTTTAATTTTTACATCTCCAGTGAAAGATGATTTTAAAGTGACTGGCTTCCCTAGGAGAGTAGAGGAATCCTGTCGCCGGACCACCACGGAGCGTATTCTGGACAATCCGGGTTCCCACGGTGTCCCACCCTCTTTCTTTGCCTGCTATCAAGGCAACATCACGGAAACTAGACTCAAGCACCAGGGAAATGGAACTCCACCTCCAACGCTGGCTCACAACGCTGGTGGGTCTGTGGGAGGCTCTTTCAGGATGTTCTGTGGCCTGGGTTCCGTTTCGGGTCTCACATCAAGTAGAGCAGAGAGAGGAGGGCGACCGTCACCCAGGCACAGAAGTGGAAGTGGAGAGGGAAGCGCCCACAGCCCGGAGGAATTAGTGCACGCGGTGGCCCACTGTCAGGGAGGACCCTGTGTCCCCAGAAGGCCACCAAGTGCAATTGTGAAAATGAAGATGATTTTCTGGAAGATGAAGGAGAGCACTCTGGGCTGGTTTATTTTGTAAAACAAAATCATCTGTGTTCTGCTCTCTGGGAGCTGAGACAGCCAGGGAACTCTCTCTCCTTTCTGGAGAAAAGCACAGGGCAAGCTGGTTTCCGTGTGCCTGCAAGGAAGGCAGCCTCGCGCACCAGCAGGGCCGTGGGCTCAGCATGTGGCTAGTGCTCTGAGCCAAAACCTGGAGTCAGCAAAACGAGGCCCGTTCAGAAGATCCCATGGAAGAAGCTTCCTTTTTTTAAGTTTAAAAAAGAGGTCCCCGTGAAGCGGTGACTGTACTTTCTGAAAGGGAATGGAGAGGGTCCTGGCTGCCTGCCGGGCTCCAGGTGACCTAGCCGGTGACGCACCAGCATCCCAAGCAGCCGCTGGGGGGGAGGACCGCCCTCTTTCTGCTCAGCCTGGGGAGCAAGAGGCCCTGTGCTCAGAGGGCCACCCGGTGTCACTTTGAATTTTGTCGGCTTCTGTCCCAATTTGTTATTCATGGGAAAATAATGTCCTGCAAATTCCCATTCTTCCTGTCCGTGATACAGAACAGTTTATACAAATATCGAAAGTGGAAAGTTAATTGATTTTTCATGTTTGAATTCCATCCATTGGCACCAAGGAGCAGAATATCTAGTTCACAGGCAAGACCAAAGCGTTCGCCGTGCTTAAATGGTTGTGGGCGAGAGAGAAATTAATCTATAAAGTTAACACCGAGAAGTAGATCCCGGCATTGATAGATGATCCCAGCACTTTGGAAATAGGCCTGTCGCTCACGGGTAGCCTTTCTGGGGAAATTACTGTCGTGGAATCAGAAAGAGACAGTAAGACAGTAACAACTTTCATCAGGACGTTGTCAGTCTTGCAGCGAGAGCCCAAGGGGGTTCCGCTGTGGCCCTGGAGTCCCTCGTTCCATCGTGTCTTCTTCGGCTTGTTCGGGGAGTTGGATGACAGTTTAATTCATTTTACTCATTTTATTTATTATAATGATTTCTAATTTCTGGCTTGCAGAAGAGTTGCAGGGATCGTTTGAAGAGTTGCTGTGGACCCCATGCCCAGAGACCCTGAACGTACCACGTTCCCGCATCGGCCGTGTCAGTTCTTTCTTTATGTCACACACACACACACATTCTTTTCCTGCATCCTCTGAGGGTACGTGGCAGGCCTAATATCTCTTTCCATCTAAATAATTCCTGCGCTCCGTGGCGCTGTGCTTCTCGTCATCGCTCTGAAGTTATTGTGCAGAGCCACAGCCGTCCAGACGAGGGGCTGCCGGACGATCACGCCACCGGCTGCATCTAATCAGGCCTCTCGGGCAGCAGGCAGGTTCACTCACCGCCTTCCCAGGGAACCAGACGCAGGGATGCCAATTAACAGTGAGACTCACCAGACTCGGAGCCTCACCGGCAGCGTGGGAACACTGACCCCCCGGGGGAGACGAGAGCCTCCGCCACATCCTGATGGACTTGGAGTAGATTCAAGCCTCGAAACCAGCCCGAGACAGCATCTTCTGCTTGGTTAATTAGAGTCAAGAAGTCTTCCTTTTCATTGACAATTACTCTCCCAAATGTGTTTCCGCTTGAAAGAGAACTGGGAAGAAAGGAGACATGTAAAATAATAATCAATCTAAATAAATCAGCAGCTCTGGGCAAGGCTCAAGGAGCTTCTGAGGTGGAGGGCGGGATAAATGCGAACCCTGTGCACCCCGAGTCGCAGGAGCTGACGAGCTCTCGTCCGAAACAGCGGTTCCGATCACAACGGTCACTGAGTCCTCTAAGCTGGCCATTTATATAAAGACAGACAAGCAGAGGACACCATGTGGCCCCACAGAATGCAGCCCAGGCTGAGCCACAGTCTCTGCCTTCGTGCCCACATGGCTCTTGTGCCCACGAGCAACCACTCATTTCACAAGTGGCTCACAGCCTGTGCCTGTCCACAAACCCGTCAGCAGAGCTGCTCCTCCGGCCAGAACTGGCCCTTTCTGAGGCAGGTTCTAAGGCCACGGGCGAGAAGAAAACTGTTTAACTTTGTACTGTCGGGAACCACAGCCTGGTTCATGTCTCACCAGTTACTGTTAAACACTGGATCTGCATAGGAAAACAGTCAAGCAATAGAGATGGACATAAAAGGAGAAGAAAGACCCCCCCCCCCATAACTACTGTCATTGTTCACTGTCTTGTCTGGAACCTTCTGGAAAGTTGTACATGCGCGTGAACGTACATACAAGCGAGGTGGCGCCACGCACCCCATTTCTCATCTTGCGTCTTCCAAACAACAGTGTATCTCAGAGGTGCGTCCGCGTCAGCTCCTGTGGGTTTGTGGCATCCTTTACACGGGCCATTCCGATTCTCCAGTTCCTAAGCCGAGCACTGACTGTTTTCCAAATACTCTCCCCTGTCCGTTCTTGTCCTCCAGACTTTCTGTACCAAAGCACACTGGCTTGAGTGGGCATCCAGGCCTTCGGTGAGCACGTTTGCAGAGCCTTGGGTGACTGACTACATGAGCAAGCTAGCCTCACTTCTTAACCCTCAGCGTGTGTGCCTGCTTGCACTGGCCATGCACGGAAGACCGTTTCCTGAGCATGCTGGCCTTCTTAGAAAGGACAGGCCCAGGGCTGCTGCCCGGCGGCCCCGCGCCCTCCCCAGATGGTCCCGTAGTGTGGAAATGACCTCCCAGGGGGCCCAGGGCAGCATGTGCCCGCTCCCTCTGCCCCTGGTTGTTTGATTAAATGAAGACAGCATACGACCGTGGGTCTGGGCACAGTGTACAGGTGTCGGCAGTGTTCTCACTAACACGCTGCGGTAGGACCACGGCACAGGGCTGCGGTCAGCCCCCAGAACCAGGACTTGGAACATGGCTAACACGACCCTGAGACAAAGCACACCCTCAGGGGCCGTGCTTTGGGGCCGTCAGAGACGTGCGCACCCCAACGAGTCTCCTTTCTCCTTCCTGTCGCTCCACGCCTGTTCTCCCGGTTTGTTGCGCGCTCTTCCTGCTCTCCTGGGTTTGTGCGGGTTTGCTTTGTGATGGCCGTGTTCTCCGTGCTACTCACACGCCCCCTAATTCCCATGCCAGTGACTGTGGGGTTGGATTCCACACGACTGGGACACCAAGGTAAAGGTCAGGACTGAGACCTAACCCATGCGCTTCACTCTCGGTGGCCCCCAGGTAAGAATCAGAGCCGGGAAGCCGACCTCCACGGCGCAGGCTCAGCCTCCTCCCCGTGTCCGTTGCCCAGGAGGCAGGATGCGGAGCGTTGTGGGTGGGCCACGTGCCACCCGGCGGGGGAAGCACTGCAGTCTCACGTGCCACCCGGAGTCGGCATCGCCCGGTGCTTCGTCATGTCTTTCCCATGCCAGCTACTCCTGGGTTCGTCTGAGCAATGCTCTTTACCAGGTGGCTAAAAAGGAGTTCAGTCCTGCCTGCAGAGCCGAGGGAGGGAGGTAGAGGATCGTGGTGTTCACTCACGCCGCACGTGGCGATCACGGACCTTCTCCCTGCCGGGCACCTGCTGCAGGTTGGTGCCGCACCTGGTCATTTAGAGAGGACGGCACACACGGTGGTCCCTCCAGTCCTCACAGCAGGCGTGGCAGGCGGACATTCCCATCCTTGTCTTCCCTTTACAGTGAGTGAGTTGCCCAGAGCTGGACCCTGGCCTTTGGAACTCTGGCTGGGTCCTTCACCCCATCGCACCTCCCATTTTCCTTCGGGAGTCGAACGTGGCCCCGTGAACGCAGACGTGGTCTGGTCTCGGAGTGCCAGTGGACGGTCAGGTTTGGGCCACTTGCTGCTGCCCTCCCCACCCCCATCTTTGTCCCACATCCCAGGTGCCAGGAGCCTCAGCTGGTGGAAGGTATAGGAGGCCCTTACTGCTGAAGACCACGCACCAGCCAAGGAGTTTTGCTCACAAGTAGCACCCGCTGCCTTTAGCTTCTGTGGGTTGTCAAGTGGCCTAGCACTCTGAGGCCAAGGGCAGCCCACACCTGCCTGTTGCCGTTGTGGACAGTGGCAGAGGCTGCCCTGCCGGTGGCCATGGCAGCCACCTCCCCCCTCATCCCTGAGGACTGCTGCGAGGATGTCTGCAGTCTGGCGGGCTGTACTTTCCTGTCACCCTGTCACTCGCTGACGCTGTCGTCTGTGCATTCCCAGGCACAGCCAGGGCCCCCGGGCCCTTCGGTCTCTGTGCCGCCTCCTCCTCCTCCCTCTCGGACCCAGATGGCGCCCGGGCCCTTCGCCCACAGGCTGACGGTTGTGAGCGCGGTTGGCTCGCAGGCGGTGGGCAGGATCCTTTCTACCTTCACCAAACAGTAGCTTGGGTGAAGCCATCGTTTGGCGTCTGCCTGGGGACCAAAGAGCTCTGACTTCCATGACACTGTTCAGTAGGTAGTGGAGGGTACAAGAGGAGTTTGGGTTCCCCACGTCTAGGAAAATAAGCAGTTCAAGGTCTTCTCCAATGTGACTTAAAGGAGACCGTCTGTCTCTAAGCCTAATCGCACTAAGAGCTGTGGAGGGCTCATCTTTCAGGCACTGAGACCCTCCATGGGGGAAAAATTAGCACTGCGTCTCCTAGTCCTGAACCTCGGATGAAAATAGCTGTGCTCCCGCTCCCGACCTTAGTCTCCATGGCGCTGTGTGCCCTCCCGAGGAACCGCACCGTGGAAACAGGGCGCATGTGCGGGAGGCAGGACCCTCGTGGTGAGCGGGACTTACCGTCGGCGTGGCCGCCATAAAGGGGCCCAAAGGGGCTCAAACAACTCCACCCCCACCCCATGTCTCCCACTCACCTCCCTTCCTCCCCAGCAACACACACCGCTCATTTCCACCCACCAGTCACTGGTCCGCACCCTCCTCCAGTTGCGAGCGTGTGGTCACTTCCGAAGATGAAAACAACCCCAGAAAGGAAAGCCCCCTGTTAGGAAGGCCCGACTTTGAACTTATGACATGCCTTCCACCGCGATAGGTACCTAGGAGCAGGTATTGTTGATGAAAACGGGTGGGGAAAGCAGAATGAAACTAGATTCTCAAGGAAACCTTCTGGGAGATGGGGAAGAGGTGTGGAAAAGTGGCCCAGGAGACCACACGGGCCTCACAAAGGTAACAGCCCGAAGGCCTTGCTGTCGCCATGAGCTGGGTTGTGTGTGGAACGCCGTGCGTTCAACCTTCGTAGCTGTCCAGGAGGTGGTTCGACTGTCCTCCCATTGTACCAATGAGGCCACTGCTGTTACCTAGAGCGGTCCTCTGTCAAAGACCCAGGAATGCCCGGTCCGTGAGGAACTGCTGCTGACAGGAGTGAACGCATGCTGCCCTGGGCGTCAGCCAGGGAGAGGACGAGCCTTCGCAGAGTGCGGAGGACGGGATTCCTGTTGCCCACGCACCTCCCGGCACTCCTGGTCTCGGAGTCGCCCTGGGATCCCGGGCACATCAGCATGCCCCACCCTTCTGGGTGGCTGGGGAAGCGAGGACAGCCCTTTGCTCCACTGGGGGTCAGGCTGCCGGCCGTGGTCCTCCAGCCGCTGTGCTGCTCAGAGCCTCTCCCAGAGCAGCTCTGCCCGCAGCTCCGTCTGCACTGAGTGCCCTGGGGACTGGGAGGAAAGTTGCACCTGAGACGGACAGCAGGCCTTGCTCCACCCCGCTCTGGCCCCGGGGCAAACCTCCAGCCAGAGACCAACCTGCAACTGAACTCCTTGGTGACCACATACTGGTCACCCAGATCCATCCAGATAAGCTGACATCCAGCCAGGCCCCAGGGCGCATTCCCGAGGGCCCATCCCGTATACCTAGGGTGGGTCACAGGGGGACTTAGGCGTTGAGGCTTTTAGAACATCCCAGCTGGACGACATGAATAGCACAGTTTTTGCTTCGTTTGGAATACGGTGCAGAAAAACGGATGTGGGAGAGTGAGCTTGACCTTTCAGTTCAGGGCGGGAGGGGTCGTGCTGCCTGTATCCCCACTCAGCATCCCAGCCTTTCAACAGGGACCGCGACTGCCGGCCGCGTGTGTAGCATCTGTGCTCAGGCCTTGCTTGCTCTGGGGCGGAAACACAAGAAGTTGTTCCTTTGTCACCTTACTGTTGACAGTGCATTTCCCCCTGAGCGGCCACTTCGTGGTGGGCGGGTATGTGGAGGTCAGTAACCGCGTGGGCCTCTGCCGTCGCTGGCTGTGCCTGGCTTCCATCCAGTCGGCCGCACGCCTCCCAGATTTCCTCCTGTCTAACCACCCCGGCCGCGCTCCGCCCCGCAGGGCGCGCCTGAGAGCGGCTGCCTGGTGTTTCCCGACACTTCACTGACCTCTCCTCTCTCTGTTTTCTCCGCAGTGCGGCAAAGGGGCGGAAAACTTTGACAAGTTCTTCACGCGAGGGCAACCAGTCTTAACGCCTCCAGATCAGCTGGTCATCGCTAACATAGACCAGTCTGATTTTGAGGGGTTCTCGTACGTCAACCCCCAGTTCGTGCACCCCATCTTACAGAGCGCAGTATGAAACTCGCCACCGAAAGCAAAGGCCTCCCCGCCCCTGCCCGTCCCCCCAGCAGCGGGAAATGATCCTTCACCCTCAAATTTTAGGGCCACGGCCTTATTTTCTTGTCCCAGACGGAGGCCTGCAAATCGTAGGGTTGTTAGTCCCAATGTGACCAGCTGTTCAGGGTCTCTCTCCCCCAACCAAGAGTGTTCTCTGAGTGGAAGACTATACAATGTACAGTGTCCGGTTCCATTACGTAGAAGTCACTCTGGCTGTAGGTTAACTCTGCCTAGGCAGCAAACAGGCTCTTGCCCCTTTTTTGGTACGATTTGATATATTCCCCAAATCCTCTGTCTGTCGGCTTTCACCACCAGGATACCCTTCCCCCTGCCCCCACCCCACCAAAGATGTGGGCTGGACACATCCCCACCCCGGCACCTTGGGAATGAAAGAACAGGGAGCCCCGAGGGCAGAGAGGGAGCAAGGCAGGGCCGGGGGTGGGAGGCTTCTGCACCCCTGCCACTTCTGTCTCTGCCTCCACGGAAACCGTCCCTAGCATCGAGAGGCCAGGATGTCATTTCCAAGCTCACTGTCCCCAGACATTGCCCGTCATAGCCCGATCACGGCCCGGTGGTCACCGGTTTTAAGAAAGAAGAAGAAGAAAACCTCAGTTGGGCGTTCAGTGAGTCTGTCCTCGTGTCCTGCTCGGCTGAAGCCTGTCTTGATACTTGCATTTCTTTGTAAGAGGCCAAATCTTCCAAGGACTTTGCTACCTGAGCGTGCAAAGTCATTTCAGATCAAGGATACAGCAGTGTGTGTGCGCGCGCGTGCGTCCGTTTTAATCTCTGGGAGATTATCCTGCGATCCAGGGTGCCATCGGCAATGCCAGTGCTCACAGTGTTGTTAGCCAACCCCCCAGCCCCCAGCATTTTGCTTCCTACTTCCTGAGAAGCCGAAGCGAGCGCCCGGCCCCTTTTGTACGTATTTATTTAACCGGCTGCAGTGTCGTTTGTGAGGGTACGATGTACAGTCACCTCAGGCGTTGACTCTAGGACCGGTCCCTACCCACGGATTCTCCTCCATTCTCTGGCCCTCCACGTCCCTCCCCATAGGGATGAAAATCAATGCAGTTTTGGTCCCTGTTTCCAGTCTGTGTCGAGTGACACACCTGGAACTGTAGAATCAGGAAACTTGGAGACATATCAGCTCAAAGAGGTTTTATTGCAAGAAGAATTTTAATATGTTTTGCAAATGCATCATGCAATGAATTTTGCATGTTTATAATAAACCTTAATAACAAGCGAATCTATATTATTGATATAATCGTATCAAGCATAAAGAAAGTGTTATAATAATTTTATAAGACACAATTGTGCTATATTTGTGGAGGCTCTTGTTTCTAATCTGCTTCTATGGTTACGTCTTGGTTGAGCCCTTTGCTGCCCCCCCGCCCCCACCCCGTGTGTCCCCTGTGCATTGGCATCGCATTGGACATATTAATTTTCTAACATAGATCTAATCTCAGAAATGAATGGCTACTTTACTTGATTAGTTAGGCTTTATATATATATACACACATATATATATAAATGTTTGGTTCTACCTGCAAACAAAAATTTTAGGGGATTGTCTTTCAGATGAGACTCTCTTAGCCTCTTAATGCCGTCTTCTGTTCTGGCTTCTACTCCATTCTTCCCCTTGGGGACGGCAGGTTTGACTCCAGTGTGACTAGACCAGGCAGACGTGGTGTGAGCCCAGCCTCTGGCAGGACACAGCGGTTCTCTCCCTTTCAGCCTCGTTACTGTGAGTGATCGGGGCGAGGTGCCCTGGCAGATAGCACACAGTGTCCCCTGGGAGGCCCGCATGTCTGTTCCCCGAGTGCAGACGTCGTGAGACAGACCATTGGCAGCCCCTGGGCACAGCCATCCCCTGGGGCTCTCGGCAGACTCTTTGCAGAGGTGACCGAGCTTCTCCCACCTGCCGTTGGAACCAGCCCGGGGAGCCTTCTATGTCAGACACCACCTGCGCCAGGCGCTCGGAGAAGCCAGTCTTCCACAACAGAAAGAACATTCCAGACGGAAGCTGCGTCCACTCCTCCCAGAGGCCTGCTCTGTTTCTCTCCGTTCCCCAGAAGCATCTCCCAGCTAAGTGCTCCAGGATTGACTCCTGCCTGTTTGCCTGAAATTCATGGCACACCCTGCCACTGAGGAAGCTGTGACACGAGAGGCTTATCTGTCCTGGGAACCCCTGAGGGGAGGAAGAGATGGGTAAGGAGTAAGTCAGACCCGGGGAGAGCGCCTTCTCTGCCGTCCCTGATGGGCTGTGGGCTCCAGGACCCCCGAGGAGCTCCCGCACATTCAGAGCTGCAGCCCCCGCCCTGGTCAGTGCACACTTTGGGGACAGGTCCTCACCAGGCGCACCTCAATTGGATCTGACAGAAAAGGGACCAGCTTACAGAAAGAGCCTGAGAAACAAAAGAGCCAGTCACCATGCCCCAGAACAGGGCCACAGCAGGATGGGTCCCTAGTCCCCCAGCAAAGCACATAGTTGAGGACCGTTTGTCCCGGGCCCCACGCTGCCCACCTGTTTAAGCCGCAGCAGCTCCGGCTTCCCAGGAAAAAGCCAGCACATCTCCAGAGCGTTCATATCTCCCTAGGAAACATGCCCAGCATCTCGGCTGCCTGGTGTTCTTTCCAAATGTGTGGCATAGTGTTTGAAGAAAATTCCCCATCGGTGGGCCCAGAACTCTGCCCCAGGGACAGCAGGCTCTTGGACAAACAGTAAACACAGGGGCCTGGTGACATGTCCCCACGACATAGCCGGTTTGGTTCCAGGCTGTGTCCTGGGCTTATTGCTGAAAGAGTAAGTCCTGTGGTGACCGTTCACACACCCATCTGCCAGAGCACGTGTGGAATTCTGTGGTGTTGGCCCCTGTGCAGGCATCGTGGGAATAAAAGCACAGGGAAGGGCCCTGGTGGAGGCTGGAGTGAGGAGGATGCCTCGCAGGGCCAGGTGGCTGGGGGACTGCAGGCGGTTCCGGCCCCCGGGCAGTGCCCCTGCCACCAGGGCCTGTGGCCATCCGGGCCCCCAGCAGGGTCTCGCACAATCTCCATCTCCGCCGGACTTGTGGCTCTGTGACTCCAAAAGGCCACCCAACTTCCCTGCGTCCTTTCCCCTCGGAATGCGGCCGCTGCCCAGCGTTGGAGCTTCCCTGTGAGCTGCAGGCCGGCGGGCATCTCCTCTAGCGCCACTGGGTGTTGGTTTGAACAGAAGGGTCTGGGCCGCCTCCCTCACAGGTTGGCGGCACATTCACTCACGGCGAGAACGGACTGAGAAGATGGATACGACCCCCTAGGCACTGGAATGATTGCTTGTCAACACATCTCATCCCCTTTCATCCCCACGGCCTGGCACAAGTCAATGCAGAGCCACTGTCTGTCTTTTCTCATGAGGCTTTCTTATTGGGAACTTTCGTAGAAGATCAGAGGGTTCAGAGCTCCCTGGAAATGACTTGAGATGGTTGGTTGAAAGACTATGAAAGACCAAGATGAATGCAAGCCGACAAATGACTGCTGAGCACCTCCCTGAGCTACGGCTCTCAGAGGAGTGTGCTAACTTCCGGTGAATGCAGGTGCAGACCCCTCCTGTCCATGTGCCGAGAAGCAAGAGGTCTGCAGAGGCCGAGGTGGGTACGGAGCTGAGAGAGGAGCGGGGTTTGCATGCGTCCAGGAGGAAGCTTGTGGCAGGAGGAAAGCAGGATGGAGGGGAAGGAGGGGGCATCCTGGGAAGGACGCTGTTGCTATTTCCAGGGCTTTCCATTGGAGGTCATTGGTGCAGAAGAAAGTCACCGCCTGCTGGCTCTCGAGAATGAGTTTGTTGCCAGGGACACGGTCTAGTCCTCCTCAGAAAACATCTCCCAAATGCCAGCAGCATCCTCACCAGCTGCTGGAAGCCTCTTCCCCTGTCTCCACCGGAGAGGCCGAGCCGAACCACCCAGCTGCCCCTCTGGGGCTCGTCACGAGCACCGTGGCAGCCGGGGATGGATGGGGAAGACGCAGAAACAGCTCACAATGCCGTTCTCACCTGGGTCCACTTAGCAAGAGAAATGAGAGGTGTTTTGCCGGGATTTATTTTCTCTGCAGTGAAGAGGAAGGAAAGTGAGAGTCTCGGGTTTTTAAAAGCCTCAGGAAGGCGACACCATCTGACAGGCATTTTCTCACTTGGGTCTTATGAAGTCGCTTAGTTCTTATGTGTGCAGTTCACACCATTTCCTATTTCTTTAAACCCACCCAGGGCAGGGTACCCCCCACCGAGCTCACCGGAATAATCATGACCATGAACTGGACACTGAGCCAGGGACCCACGGGGCTATAGGAACAGCGAAGGCACAGCGGGTCTGGGGAAGGCAAGGGACTCTCTGGTTATTAGTGACTGCACCACGCTAGTTTGACAAGGAGTGTGGGGAAGTATTTTAAAAAACATTTTTCTAGAGTCGCTTGGGTTACACTTTATGAAATACAGCAGACCGTGAACATTTCCGTCACTTCCCATTTGGGCTGACGCAGGGAGCGCTGTATTTCTCATCCATTCGAAACACGGGAGACTGGGTGAGGTTGCCTGCACTGTACACGGGCGAAGGCTGGTGTCTGGGAACAGTGTCGACCACGGTTCTGTTCATCCTACAATGTCAGGGCCCTTTGGGAGGGTCCCCTGTGCCTCTGAGCTGAATCGAGTGCAGTTAACAACCGTGAGGCCCGACTCAGCCGTCAAACAGCCTTACAGTGCCCCTACACCCAGGCCCACAGGTTCCAAAGACTTTTTTTAAACCTTAAGGAAGAAACTAATTTAACTCCAGTGAAACAACTGGCTATGCTGAGCTCTTTATACTTTTTTATAGAGAACTTTAATAACTCAATTCTTTAAAAACAGGCTTTTAAAATTACAATTTGATAAGATTCCAACCACATGGACCCTGTAGGAGGCCTCGGCGGCAGCCGGCTACAGCACCCCCCCCCCCAACTTGCACTCGCCCTGCAGGGTCTCCCATGCCTGTGGGTGCGGAGTCCTCATCAGGATGACTGGAGGTTTGGGTGAAACGCCCTGGCAGACCGACACCCTCCCTGTTTTTAGTAGACCCTGGGGACAACTGTCTAGGGTCCATAGACTCTCAGACCATAGAAAGATGGCCTCATTGCGCCTCGTCCAGATGTGGACCTAGAACAGTCTCCCCAGGGGTCCCTGGGGCACCTGTCCGTGCTCTGGTCTGCCACAGCAGACACGGGAAGGGGGCTCTTGCTCAGGTCTGTCTCCAGTGCCCGGGGGTCCCCGGGTCTCTCACACTCGGTGAAAATGCAGAGCTGCCCCGTAAGGGTTTTGCTCACTGGGCAATTCAGAAACTCTTCCACGGTCCCGAGAAGGAGGCGGCAGCAGCCAGCACACCGAGGGCATCCGTTTCCAAGTTCTTTCTTACACGAGTGGACAGAACCCTGCTTTTTCAGAAAAATAAGTACCAAGTCCACTTTATAAGAATCTTTTTTTCTACAATCAGACAAAGGGTGGCTTCGCAATTTCTGATTAAACAGCTGTGTCTCCGTCTCCTCTGCTGAACTTTAGGAGTATTTATTCCTGTGATTGTAGATTTTTGTTGATGTTCTTCCTGAAAGAATGTGATTCTTTTCTTGAGCAGATTAGCGGGCTCTTCAGGGTCCCACATGAAGGCAGTTTTCCTCTGAAGTCTAAGTGGTCTAGGAATTCACCTCACGTCCCTTCTGTCAGGGTCTTTCAGAATAACTTTTATAGATGGTCAGAAACATTTGAAATCATTGCTTTTGCTACCTAATATTGTGTGTGTGTGGAGAACATGCCATGTTTAAGCCGTTCACTGAAAAACATAGTGTGAGACCCCACGTGTGTACGAAGGAGGAAGAGGCGGAGGTTTTCCTTCTGAATAAGCCCCTGGTGACCACTGCAGAGGCCGCTCAGCTGGCGAGGGACATCGGGTTTGTGGCGGGCGAGATGAATGTACAACTAACCGCATCGCTGTCCTCAATCCGTATGACCTCTAATCTTCGTTTGCATGATACGCTTCGTTAGCGACATTAACTGTGTATGAATAAATATGATCATTCCTCAGTGCACTTGGCCTCGTTTGCCTCGTTTGTGGTGTCACAGTTGTTCTTCGAGTGTTCATGTCCGAGAACTTGACTCGGGACACTTCCTGGGCACCCACTCCGCTTACGCTCACTTTTTTCTTCAATGGATACAAGTGGAAGGACTTTTTAATTTTTCATTGACTTCATTGGGGTGACACTGGTTAATAACATTATATGGGTTTCAGGTGTACAATTCTGTAATATATCATCTGCGTATTGTGTTGTGTGTTCACCACCCCAAGTCCAGTCTCCTTCCATCACCATTTATCCCCCTTTACACTCTTCTAGTTCCCCTCACCCCCGCTCAAGATTTTTCTTAAAATATGCTTTGAATTGAAACCCAAGCAGGTACTGGGATAGAGTCATGACAAGTCATTCATTCATTCATAGGCAGTTCATGGGGCAGCCGCTTGGGGCAGGAGCCACGCCAGGCACCAGGGATGTGGGGGAGAGGGGGCCAGTAAGGCCCCTGCCTGCCAGGGGGTGGAGCTTGTGCTCTTGCACCCCCACACTGCAGGGGTCACACAGCGGCTGGTGAGGACTTTGTCCACGGATGGGCTGTCCCCTTCACTAGGAGGGTTTCAGAAGGAATTGAGCTCAAACTTGGGGTTTGCCTTTAGAAACACACACTGTTCACACGTCTGGTCGGCTGCACCAGGGACTCAGCCTCAGGACCATCACTGCCTTCCGCTTCAGCAGCCCTCGTCCTGTCCTTGCTGCTGGGCATGGAAAAGTGGGGGATAAAACAGGGAGCGCTCCCACACACCCAGTCTTAAAACTCAATGCTCTTTAGGGAATTAGCCTCAAAAAGAACTAAAAACCAATAACAGAAGTAGCACTCCTAAGAGCCGGGATCAGCAGCCTCGATAGAGTTCACCTCTGCCCCCTTCCTCCACTCCTTTGGGGGACCGCATTCCGCACCCCCCCCCCCCTACCCCAAGCCCCCACCCTGCCCACCCCTCACTGTGCAGCCAGACCTGCCGCGCTGTGATTTCTCTCCTCCGGGTGCTGCTTCCCACCCACTAAGTCCATTTCCATGTGATGGCGACTGCAGCAACCACATGTGGCTGGGCGTGGGGCCAGGGCGTGACCTGAGCCCCAGGAGGTGGACAGGCAGCCTCATCAGGACTCAAGAAGCCTCAGTCTCAGGACTGAGGATCCCCAGCTGTCCCTGGAAGCCTGTCCCTTCCTCTACCCCACCTGGCTACTACCTGTCACACAGAGAAACCTCTGGCCAGGCTGGCAGCCTGTCGCCGAGTCAACTGCTGCCATTCACCTCGACATGGTCCCTGCAGGCTTGCACAGCCACACCCAGGTCCTTGCTGTGGGCCGGGTGCCCACGCCGTCTCCCCCAGCAAAGCACCTCAGGCTGCTCCCCAGCCCACCCACACCCCTTCCTCCCTCACTGTCTCTGGAGAGGCAGCCTTGGTGGCAAGAGCAAAGCTGAAGCCACACGGCCGGGCTTCCCACTTGTGACTGTTCGATCAGGGGCACGTTCTTGGTGCCTGTCTCTGCCTCCATGTCCTCGTGTGTAAAACAGCACGATGAAGAGGGTGCCTGTGGGGTGACAGTGGGGACTACAGGGCGAACCTGTTAGACCCCTGAAGGAAGAGGCAGGGCTCCTTACAAGGGCAGGGAATGGCTGGGACCCGGGGCGGGGGGTGGAGGTTACAGCCAGAGAACGGCCCTGGGGTTTTCTCTCTTCCAGTCCCATTTGAGAAGGGGGTGGGGTGTACCAGCTAACCGGGGGATTCCTGGTGTGAAGATAATTATTGAGCCAACCTCAGAGTCTAGGAACAGGGCTGAATGGAGGCGTGTGGGGACCCCCGGCAGGCTAAAGATGGATGTGCTAGAAATAGGAATTCAGTTGTCACAGAGGAGCAGCTGGGCAGCGTGGGAGGGAGAAGCGAGCAGCCTGCCGAGGCCCAGCCTCAGCACCCACAGCACATCTGTGCCCCGCGGTCGGCCCGGCTGCTGCCCGCCACCTGCCCCCAGGCCGGCTCTGCGTGGGCTCCGGGAACCAGCCCGCTCCGCCCGAGCACCACCGCTGCGCTGGGCCCGGGAGCTCCAGGCCTGCCCCCTGCGGCAGGAGGCTGCGGGGAGAAAGGGACAGCCTCACGGGTAGAGAAACTCCAGCCTGTGTCCCTGTGGCCGGGGTGCCCTCCCTGTGAAGCCGCCCTGGCCGGGTGGCACGGCTCACTGAAGCACTGTCCGCACACCGAAAGGTTTCGGGTTCAATTCCTGGTTGGAGTGCATAGGGGAGGCAACCCATCGAGGTCTCCCTCCCTCTCTCTCCTCCCCCCGCCGGCCATTTCTATCCCTATCTCTTTCCCTTCCCTTCTCTCTAAAATCAGTAAAAACCTATCCTCCCTCAAGTCTAGTCCTCTGTCTAGTACCGGCCTCACCAGCCCGTGTCCATCCCTGCCCACCTATGCCCAGTCCATCGGCAAGTCCTGTCAGGTCAGCGCTAAAGCCAAGCTTCTCGGCTGGGGGCGATTTTGCCCCTCAGGGGACATCTGGCAACATGTAGAGACATTTTTGTGGTCACACTGGAGGGAGGCACTACGGCCTCTAGAAGGCAAAGACCGACAGCCGGGGGAGCTGCTAAACACCCGAGATGCCAGGGATAACCGCCCCCCCCTCGCCCCCCGCAACAGAGAATGATCCAGACCAGACGTCAGCGGTGCTGCTGCTGCTGCCGCAGCTGAAAACCGAGCACCAGGTCCTGGCGCCGGCTCCGCGTCCACTGTTTTCTCTGCCCGTCTCCTCCAGGTCCCCCTGGATGCCCCTGGATCCCCCATGGCCCTCTCGGCACAGCAGCCAGTGTGACCCTGTCCAAGCAGGTC